CGTCATGGCTGCTGTCCTCCTCTGAGAAAAATAGAACCTGAAGGAAAAGTTTGGAAAATCTGAATAAAATAGAAAAATATTGGTTGCACCTTTGCAAACACTTTATTCACTGTTAAAACATGTTTTCCTATTTTCCTGAAGGTTTTAGAGGTTTCTCTGCTTTAGCACAGCTGATTCTGACGATTGCAGCTCAGCAAAAGCCTGTTAATCAGCTATCAATGGAAATCAGCTGTACTGGAGCAGGAAACCTCTAAAACCTGCAGGACAGTAGCCCTCAGGGACCGACTCTGGGGATCCCTGATCTAGATTGAGCAGAGTAGGCTAATCTATAGCTGCCTCCAATTGAACCGGTTCTGATTAAAGGAATAGGACACTCAAAACATGATTAGCCTTCATTTTCTACTCACCCCCATGCTGAACAACACTCTGGAGTACTTTCTTGATATCTCAAATGCATCTGGAGATCTGGGAGGCTTCTTGCTGTCTGCTGACATTCAAATAATGGAGGTCTATGGTGACCGAGACAGAAAGGTCCATAAAAATCCACAAAAACGTGTCAATATTCCTCCATACTGCTCGTCCAATGTATTCCAAGTGTCCTGAGTGGGTAGCATCCAGAATTTACTCGAAACGAAGTCATTTAGAATGTTTTTAGAGCATAAACAGTAGTGTATAGGATTTCCTGAAAGCGCGCACATGCGCGCTCAGGACGCTACGGAAGCCGGCAGACCAAACCAGCGCATTCAGCTCGGCAAAGAACTCATGCTCTTCTTCAACACTGAAGTCCTCAGACATTTTTCTTTCGTTGTTTCTTTCTTTGCACAGGTAAACGGCACATTTCTTCTTCTACGCTTGCATTATCGGCAGACCAGACGCTGAATGCGCACTTTCATCTGGTTTAGTCTGCCGGCTTCCGTAGCGTCGTGAGCGCGCGTGTGCGCGCTTTCAGGAAATCCTATACACTACTGTTTATGCTCTAAAAACATTCTAAATGACTTTGTTTCGAGTAAATTCTGGATGCTACCCACTCAGGACACTTGGAATACATTGGACGAGCAGTATGGAGGAATATTGACACGTTTTTGTGGACTTTTATGGACCTTTCTGTCTCGGTCACCATAGACCTCCATTATTTGAATGTCAGCAGACAGCAAGAAGCCTCCCAGATCTCCAGATGCATTTGAGATATCAAAAAAGTACTCCAGAGTGTTGTTCAGCATGGGGGTGAGTAGAAAATGAAGGCTAATCATGTTTTGGGTGTACTATTCCTTTAAGATGCATCAGGTCCAAAGACAGCTGAGCCTGTTGGCACCTTTAGTCCAAAGGACAGGGAGGGCGAGGGCGGGCTGAGGGTGGACACTGAACATGGCGGTTCTATAGAGATAGAGCCGGTACCGGTTCTGTAGAAATAGAGATTCTATAGAGATAGAGCCGCTGGCTGACCCAAAGGCCAAATATTCAACCAATCGGTTTCCTCAGAAACCGCTTTAAAGGCTGATTGGGATTGTGGGAAAGGATTTAATGAATTCCCAATTTCATGAAAAAATTGTTAAAAATAAACTGAACTGATTCAGGAAGAAATGTTGAAAGACAGAAGTTTCATGATTGAAAGCTTTAATGCATGGAGAGGACAACTGTTCCCATGGTAACATCAGAAGGACACAGAGACTGCATGGAGGAAATCTCCTTCCATGTTTTCCTCCTGTGGCCGGCGTTCCTGCAGCTGAGTGTGTGAGATGGTGTCAGAAGGCCTCCCATCCCTGATGCTCAGTTTCCATCTTCAGACTGTTTCTGGCCTTTTCCAGCTCTGCCAGCTGCAGGAAGTCCTGCTCTGAAACTCCAAACACCTCCTTTCTCTCTTTAGTGGTTTAGGAGCGAGGTCGTTATGTGGCCCCCCCGAGGCCCAGAGCTATGACCTACCTCCTTCATGTTTTCCAGCACTCTGACCGTACCTTCCTGTCTTTGGGGCGGCAGAACAATGTCCCATTAAATGAGCTAATCAGGAAGTGAGAACACGGAGGTGGAGGCCTGAAGTCTTTCCATGGATCGGGGACACGCAAAGACTTTCAGGCGCTCGGCCGAGAATTTCCTCTGCTGTTAAAGTATTTCCATCCAGGCATTAACCCCCCCCACCCCCCCCCCCCCCCCCCACCCCCACCCCCATCAGGCTGATGGAGGAGCTGTTTGTAGTCCTGTAGAGATGGTCTCTCTCCTTCTGCAGATTTACTGTATTTTTCCAATGTTTAAATATGGATCAGATAAATGGAGCTAAATAAAAATACTTTTTAAAAACAATTAAGAAAACTGCTTCAGTCAGCAATCAGACCAGGGATGTCAAACTGGTTCCAGATAACCCCACACCACCCCCTGTTTGACACCCCTGACCTGAACTAAGTCCCAATGGAAGCTGCAGAAACTTTCCTATGAGGTGAAGTTTAGCCAAGATACTGGAGGACAAAACCTCCAGCAAACATCCACCATCGTCCTCCAAGTGAACAATGGATGTGTCTCCACCCTGGAAAACCTGCACAGATGCTATCATCTTCCTGTTGGAGTGATGCTTTTCCAAGACTCTGAGGAACGAAAGCAGAAAAACATGTCCGCTTTCCACACCCCGACCAAACACACACACTCTGGGACTCCTTTGTTCTGGCTGAAGTGGGTTCCTGTTTGGATCAGGGGCTGGTGTGGGGCCAGACGTCAGGGAGACCAGCTGGAAGGGTGGTTTGCACCTCTAGTGAAACAAATGGGTCAGAACCAGAACTGTAGCTCTTTCTTTCTACCTAAATGGCTGAGCAATCACCTCCTCTGAGGGACGGTGGTCCAGACTCAATGCCAGCGGCCCTGGATGGATGTCTGGTTCCAGAAAGCAGAGTCCCAGCCGTTCTGGTTCTGGTTCTGGTCCAGACCAGGGCACCTTTCCTCGTTTCTCTCCATCCCTTCTGCAGATTAAAGGTTGTGGTCAGTGGGCGTGTTCCATAGTGATACCGGGCCGCCTTATTGGACAATTCTGATGGTGAAAGAGAGATGATGTTCTAAGGACAGATAGTAATAAGTCTATTATTGAATGTAAAACATTTAAAACATGAAAACAATGAAAAGATGAAATGTTTGAAAACAGTTTCAGCTTCTCTGCTTGAAGTTGAGCATCTTTATGTTAAAATTAGGAAATGATTCAGTTTAAGGCTGATTTATACTTCAAAACCAGGTCCTCTGGTATGGCTGGCTTATTTTGTTTTAATGACCGAAATTGCGGAAAACAACCAGCTAGAAGAGCGAGGAGCGGAAGAACGCTGGGCCCCTTTTTCCATCTGGATCCCCGCTATTCTTCACCCTCATGTCCCTCTGTTGTCGGACTAAACTCGCCCTCCCGCTTCCTCATCGCCTCGGCCATATCTAGACCCACAGTGTATAGCAAAGACCATGCTTCAATATGGAGCATAAATCAAAAATGTCTGCATCAAGGTCACTGCAATACACTGCTGCAGGAGTATAACCAGGCCTTTAGTATCATGAAGTGGTTGAAAATAAATCTTCCTGACGCTCAGACCAGACCCTGTGAGCACATGCTGCAGACATGCTGCAGACATGCTGCAGACAATCGCTCAAAAATCTCACTTTTTTTTAAATAGAAACTGAAAACGCTTTTCTTTAAAGATAAAAACTTTAAGCAATATGAAAAACAAATAAATAAAAAAATCTGTATAATCAAATTAAAAATTTAAATTAAATGTAAAAATAAAACAAAAACAGTTTGAAGAATTTGAATTTGAAAAAGTTAAATATGAAAAGAAATTAAATAAAATCTGAGAAGTACCAGGTCCTGGATCCAATCTTCCTCTGCACGGAGGCTTGGTTCTCCCTCAGAGAGAGGGTGAGGAGCTGGGTCATCAGGGAGAGGCCCTGAGTAGAGCTGCTTCTCCTCCACATCCAGAGGAGTCAGCTATGGAGGATCAGACATCTTTATCTGATGGACGCCTCCCTCTGAGGGGTTCCAGGGATGTCCCACCAGCAGGAGGACCAGGACATAATGGAGGGAGCACCTAGAGAATCTCACGCTTCCCCAGCAGAGCTGAAGGAGGAGTCTGGATAGAGGGAGGTCTGGATAGATTGAGGTCTGGATAGAAGCAGGTCTGGATAGAGGGATCTCTGGATAGAAGGAGGTCTGGATAGAGGGATCTCTGGATAGAAGGAGGTCTGGATAGAGGGATCTCTGGATAGAGGGAGGTCTGGATAGAGGGATCTCTGGATAGAGGAAGGTCTGGATAGAGGTATGTCTGGATAGAGGTATGTCTGGATAGAAGGAGGTCTGGATAGAGGTCTGTCTGGAGAGAAGGGGGTCTGGATAGAGGGAGATCTGGATAGAAGGAGGTCTGGATTGAAGGAGGTCTGGAAAGAGGTATGTCTGGAGAGAATGAGGACTGGATAGAGGGATCTCTGGATAGAAGGAGGTCTGGATAGAGGGAGATCTGGATAGGAGGTCTGGATAGAAGGAGGTCTGGAAAGAGGTATGTCTGGAGAGAATGAGGTCTGGATAGAGGGATCTCTGGATAGAGGAAGGTCTGGATAGAGGTATATCTGGAGAGAAGAAGGTCTGGATAGAAGGAGGTCTGAATAGAAGGAGGTCTGGGAGTCTCTGCAAAGCTGCTGCCTTGTGACCCAGTCCAAGCGGGAGACGAGTAAAAAAAAAAAAAAGTTTTTTAATGTTTACTTCTGGATTTTTTGTGTTTTTGTTATAATTTGCATTTTTACAAAAGGTGTTATTTGATTTCAACAACAACTGATCAAAACCCAGCCCTCCAATGCTGAACCCAAAACTATGCCGCTGATACCAGTGCTGATGTTCCTGTGAAATCTACCGTTCATTGAGATGAATTAGAACCAGTCTACAGACCGAGAACCAGTGAAATGAAAGCAATGATTTTATTCTGTTTTATTTTTGTGAGCATGGCTGCTCGTCCCATTTAGCCTCAAACCCCTTTATGTTTGTTTCTTCACAGGATGAAGTGAAAGTTCCCTCAAAACTCAGCATCTCCAAGTCCATGAGGGCTTCTGAGTCTGTATCGGGAAGCAGAGGAGGCAGTCTGTTAGAGCTTAAAGAAGCTGTGGAGGAACCTGGAGAAGCAGGAGAAGAGGATGACAAGGAGGACAAGCCCCATGTAGATCTTTCTTCCGATGAAGAAGGGCTGGAAATTGAAGACAACATTGAGGAGACACGAGCTGAACGCATCAAGCGTAGCAGCCTGCAACGTGTCCAAAACCTGAAGACTGTCTTCTCCAAACAGAAGATGGATAAGACCAGAGCAAAGACCAAAGAGAACCTGGAGAAGACCAGACAAAAAACCAAGGATAACATCGAGAAGACCAAGCAGAAGACCAAGGAGAACCTGGAGAAGACCAGACAAAGAACCAAGGAAAACATTGAGAAGACCAAGCAGAAGACCAAGGAGAACCTGGAGAAGACTCGTCACAACATTGAGAAGAAGATGGGGAAACTTGGAACCCGCATGACTGTGAACCCTGAGCGAAAACAGAAGATGAAAACCTCCAGCGACAAGATGAAGAAAGCCTTCACTCCAGACCATGTGGTGTACGCCCGGTCCAAAACTGCCGTCTACAAGGTGCCCCCATTCACCTTCCACGTGAAGAAGATACGTGAAGGAGAAGTGGAGGTGGTTCAAGGAACCGAGATGGTGGAGGTGTCAAGGGAAGTAGAGCACATAGAAGGGGAGGATGTGGAAGCAGACAACGCTGAGGTGGAGGTGGAGATGGAGATGGTGAATGGAGGAGGGGATGATGAAGAGGCTGATGAGGACGAAGACGAAGACCACCAAGATGCCTTACACGAGAATGATGGTGATGATGATGATGATAAAGACAGCGACTAAAGCTGGAGCAGAGAGCCGTTCAGTTCTGTCCTTTAGGTCCAAGAGTTTAGATTATTTGGATTAAAGACCAATATTTAATGAACCAGATGGTTCCTACTCACCATCACAGGAACCATGAAGGTCCCCTTCTACAGGGTTGGTCACCATCCCTACCAGAACCAGACGGTTCCTACTCACCATCACAGGAACCATGAAGGTCCCCTTCTACAGGGTTGGTCACCATCCCTACCAGAACCAGACGGTTCCTACTTAACATCACAGGAACCATGAAGGTCCCCATCTACAGGGTCGGTCACCATCCCTACCAGAACCAGACGGTTCCTACTCACCATCACAGGAACCATGAAGGTCCCCATCTACAGGGTTGGTCACCATCCCTACCAGAACCAGACGGTTCCTACTCACCATCACAGGAATCATGAAGGTCCCCATCTACAGGGTTGGTCACCATCCCTACCAGAACCAGACGGTTCCTACTCACCATCACAGGAACCATGAAGGTCCCCTTCTACAGGGTTGGTCACCATCCCTACCAGAACCAGACGGTTCCTACTCACCATCACAGGAACCATGAAGGTCCCCATCTACAGGGTTGGTCACCATCCCTACCAGAACCAGACGGTTCCTACTCACCATCACAGGGACCATGAAGGTCCCCTTCTACAGGGTTGGTCACCATCCCTACCAGAACCAGACGGTTCCTAGTCACCATCACAGGAATCATGAAGGTCCCCATCTACAGGGTTGGTCACCATCCCTACCAGAACCAGACGGTTCCTACTTAACATCACAGGAACCATGAAGGTCCCCTTCTACAGGGTTGGTCACCATCCCTACCAGAACCAGACGGTTCCAACTCACCATCACAGGAACCATGAAGGTCCCCTTCTACAGGGTTGGTCACCATCCCTACCAGAACCAGATGGTTCCTAGTCACCATCACAGGAACCATGAAGGTCCCCATCTACAGGGTTGGTCACCATCCCTACCAGAGCCAGACCGTTCCTACTCACCATCACAGGAACCATGAAGGTCCCCATCTACAGGGTTGGTCACCATCCCTACCAGAGCCAGATGGTTCCTACTCAACACCACAGGAACCATGAAGGTCACCATCTTCAGGGTTGGTCACCATCCCTACCAGAACCAGACGGTTCCTACTCACCATCACAGGAACCATGAAGGTCCCCTTCTACAGGGTTGGTCACCATCCCTACCTGAACCAGACGGTTCCTACTCACCATCACAGGAACCATGAAGGTCCCCATCTACAGGGTTGGTCACCATCCCTACCAAAACCAGATGGTTCCGAGTCACCATCACAGGAACCATGAAGGTCCCCATCTACAGGATTGGTCACCATCCCTACCAGAACCAGACGGTTCCAACTCACCATCACAGGAACCATGAAGGTCCCCTTCTACAGGGTTGGTCACCATCCCTACCAAAACCAGATGGTTCCTAGTCACCATCACAGGAACCATGAAGGTCCCCATCTACAGGGTTGGTCACCATCCCTACCAGAGCCAGACCGTTCCTACTCACCATCACAGGAACCAGGAAGGTCCCCTTCTACAGGGTTGGTCACCATCCCTACCAGAGCCAGATGTTCCTACTCAACACCACAGGAACCATGAAGGTCACCATCTTCAGGGTTGGTCACCATCCCTACCAGAACCAGACGGTTCCTACTCACCATCACAGGAACCATGAAGGTCCCCTTCTACAGGGTTGGTCACCATCCCTACCAGAACCAGACGGTTCCTACTCACCATTACACGAACCATGAAGGTCCCCATCTACAGGGTTGGTCACCATCCCTACCAGAACCAGACGGTTCCTACTCACCACCACAGGAACGAGTTTTCATCCGTCCATCTTATTCCTGTTGAGGTGGACGAAGTAAAATGGAATCAATCCAATTGGACCCTGAGGGACGTCCTGGTCTTCCTGCTCCATCATGTCCCTCTGGTGACAGAAGGAGCTGGATGGATTCTAACAGAATTGGGGGGGGGGGGGGGGTATTTTATGTATCCTTTTTAGAAGCACTGTTAGATGTTTCTCCTCTTAGTTTAGGATGTCTACCTTCCACCTAACTTTCCTGCCACAGACTCTGACTCTTCATAAGAGGATTTCTGATCATTTATCCTAAAGAGGCTGAATCTCAGAAGAGGAGGAGTAGGAGAAGGACTCACCTTGGTCACTACAACCTTTAACTGTCAAATGTTTCTCACTAAATGTTCGTTTTTATGGCCAACCTGACCCCTACAGCTAAAGTCAATGGCCCAAAAGGGCCTTCGAACCACACCCACAGCAGCTTCTTCTGTCTAACACTGCCCCCTAGTGTTGAGGAATAGTTATGTTCTGTTTGACCTTCTGAGCTTCTTCTCCTGCAGCTCCAGTTTTAGAGCTTCTGTCCAGTAGAGTAGATGGATGTGATCTTCAGAACACCTGAAGCGGGTCAGAACCAGCTCCCCGTTTCCTCCTGTATATAATGTGACTCTGCAGATCAGCAGCACCTGAACGCCTCGCTTTGCATCATCACCTGCATCCAGAGGAGCTGCTCCATCTTCTGCTTTATCTGGAAATGATTCCTTAAAACAGTTTAACCACTAATGAATAAAAACAACCGATTCACACTTTCTCTTTGATTTTCTTCTTTATGCTTATACCGTAATTCCTTTATTGGATAGAGGCCAGAATTAGAGACAGGCCTCTATTGCTATTTGAGCAAAACAGACTACCAGTGGAATGAATAAAAATGAGATTTTGTGTCTATTTGAACCTATAAAACACTAGGTTCATTTATTGAAAAAGTACAGTTACCATGTCTCGCTTGGTTTGAAGTAAAAAAAAAAAATAAAATCCTCCAATTCTGTTTAATCCTCCTCCTCAGTTTCCTCCTCCTCTTCATCTCTCCCTTTAATCTCCTCATCACTCGAGCTCCTCCTCATGTTCTGCTGCGTGTCTGTTCTCTTCCTCGCGCAGACGGGCAGCAGTCAGGGCCTGTCGTCCAGCTGCGCAGAGCTGTGGTACTTGTTTGTTACTTACTACCACAAGTATAATGTTGAGGTATGCCCAGAAAAAACGTTTATAGCCCCGGCCTGTATTAGAGACCGGCCATTATTTACCTCCTCTGACAGCGAGACCGGCCATTATTAGAGACCCGGCCGCTATTGGAATACAGGCCAATATTAGAGAATTTACGGTATTTACATTTCAAATGAATTTCATTTTAAAAAGGAGATGTTTTCTTTCAGTCCAGGGTTGGGATTTTTCTTAAACTTCAGAATGATCCTAAATGTAAATCTATCATCTGTCATAAAATAATCATTTTACCCTCTCAGTAATAAAAGGACCACTAATTTCAATTTCAAAGTTAACAGTTTATTTATCAACTAATAGTTTTTATGTATTTTCAGAGGAATCTTCCAAAGCCTCATCCCATAGAGGTATTAACGTATATATAGTAGATTATTTTATTTACAGGTATCACTTTAAAGGATGGAAATAACTGATTAAATGTCCGAGGTGAACAACAGCTTCACTTTTTGGTCTGTTTTTTTCATGGTTCATAAGTTTCTTTAGGTGATTTTATATAAATCATAATTATTTTTATATTAGATTGAAGCTCTGAGACACACAGAATAAAATCAACAGACAGAAATGAAAGAGAGGAGAATAATAAATAATCTGAGACCAAAATATAATTCAATATAATTAATCCCAGCTGGATTCAATTCAATTCGATTCAGTTTATTTATATAGCGCCAATTCACAACACAAGTCATCTCAAGGCACTTTACAGTTCACCAGATCATCCAGTCAAATTGATTAAAAGTTTTCTATCTAAGGAAAACCAGCTGATTGCATCGACTCATTGACTCTTCTGCAATCCCTCACACTGAGCATGCTTGTAGCAACAGTGGAGAGGAAAAACTCCCTTTTAACAGGAAGAAACCTCCAGCAGAACCAGGCTCAGTGTGAGCGGCCATCTGCTGAGGCCGACCGGGGTTCAAGGAGACAGAAGCAGACATAGAAAAAGAAGCATAGATACAAAAGGCAACTGTCAACCAGCTCCACAGGCGGCCCCGTCCAGGAAACACACAGCCAGGCAGATGAGCTCCGAGCCAGCTCCCATGTCAGTGGATAAAGAGAGCACATCCAGTTAGTCACAGTCAGAGAAACAGGACTACATTGAAAAACAGGCCAAGCTCCAACGTCTAGAAACAAAGGTGTTGATGGCAGCAGCACAGCTGATATTTCTCTCCAGGATGGAGTCACAGCCAAACAGGAACAGACCAGATGAAGCTACTATGAGAAAAAGCAGAGAGAGCAGAACATTAGAGATTGAACTAACAGATTCTGCAGAGTGGGAGAATAGAGAAAGAATGAAGCAGAATGATGAAAAAGGGGTGCCTATGTCCTCCAGCAGTCTAAGCCTATAGCAGCATAACTATAGAGATAGCTCAGGATAACCTGAGCCACTCTAACTATAACCTTTATCAAAAATGAAAGTTTTAAGGAGGAGGATCAAACACACCTGTCAGATCCTGCTGATCACAGCAACTGTTGAAGGATTATTGAACAATAATCTGAGATCAATGGGGCCCTTCAGCACAGAATGAGGCCCACAGCGGGGGGGGGGGGGTCACACCCCCACCCCCACTGTCCAGGTCCCTCTGAAGGGGACAGGGAGGCTTGTCCTGGTCCACTCTGTCCTCAGTTATTTATGCATCTAAAAAAAATAATGATTTCAGTCTGACTCTCTGGCATGATGGGAAATCTACAGAATGCATGCTTGCATTTTGTTTCTTAAAATAGGCCTGTAGACCACCACTTTAGTTAGATTTTAAGTCTGACATATGCAGAAGGATTAATCAGAATCCACTTCCAGTAATGGCCACTCTAAGCATGTAGCAGCCCCAGGGTTGCCTGTAACACAGAACCAGGAGTTTATCATATCTTATCATTAAGAAACACAGTGGTCCTATCAAAGAATCAGTGATTAAAACATCGTTTATTGTTTATTTATTTGGATCCCCATTAGCTGTCAGTAATTTGACAGCTACTCTTCCTGGGGTCCTTTTAAAATTATACAGATACACAAAACATATCAAATGATCACATCATAAGAACAACTATACATTTCAAATTATTTCACATTACAGTACAATCTGTTACACAAATATTCATATATTAAGGCTTTCAACAAGTGTTTTAAATGCACCTTTCGTAGTAGCAGTCAAGATGTTATGAGGCAGTTTGTTCCACAGAGTCACAGCTCTGAACAGCACAGACCTGCACACTGCTTCTGTTCTCGGAATGGGTCGAGTCAAATGACCAGAAGCTGCCTGCCTGGTTGAATAATTGTGCTCATTTCTCACATAATGTAACAAACTGAACAAAAGAGAAGGTCTTTCACAAACATTAATATTCCTCAGGGAACACAAAACATTACATTTCAGTCTCTCCTCTACTCTGAGCCACGACAGACGCACATGCAGCTCAGCAGAGCTCTGAGTCCACACACAGGGCAGTCCCAGTGCCAGCCTGGCCGCTCTGTTCTGTGCGGTTTGTAATTTAGCCAGATGTTTCTGAGCTGCACCTGACCACACCACAGAGCAGTAGTCCAGGTGAGACAGCACTAACGATTTAATCACTAAAATTCTGGAGGCTGAGGTCATAAAAGATCTAAATCTTTTAATAAAAGACATATTTCTTCCCATATTTTTCACCACCATATCTATATGTTTTTCCCAGGATAGCTGCTCATCAAATGTTACACCTCTTGAACCTGTTCTATGTCCATATCCTTTAGCACAATATCAAGTTTATCATCACATTTTTTATGCCTAGCTTTAAATAACATACACTTTGTCTTTGAAACATTCAAGGTTAGTCTGTTCTTATTAATCCAGGCAAGAAGCACCTGCTAGTCCAACTGCAGTGTTTCTTTTAACTCTGATATCTTTGCTGCTGCAAAGTAAAGTGTAGAATCATCTGCATAAAGAGTTATGCTGCACCTTTTTAGGACAAATGGCATGTCATTAATAAAAATCGAGAAAAGCAATGGTCCTAGGCAACTGCCTTGTGGTACACCACACTGCATTTGTTGAGGTGATGAGAAGCTTTCGTTAAAAAACACACATTGTGATCTAGATGTTAAATAGTTTTGTATCCATTTCAGAGGAGTGGCACCAGATCTGTATGCCGATAACTTTTCAAGTAACATTTGATGATGCACTAAATCAAATGCAGCGCTGAAATCCAAAAACACAGCACCAACTATCAGTTTTTTGTCTATGCTAGACAACCAATTCTCTGTCATTTCTGTAAGGGCTGTACATGTCGAGTGATTTTCCTTATATGCATGCTGTGATTCAAAAATCAAGCTGTTACAGTTTAAATATGTGGATATCTGTCCAAAAACAACCCTTTCCAGCAATTTACTAAGTATAGGCAGAATACTAATGGGCCTACTATTGACTGCAGAGAGGCTAACATTGGTAGTTTTTGAAAGAGGAAGTATTTTAGCAGATTTCCACATTTGAGGGAAGACCCCTTCTGTCAAGCTTAGATTAAACAAATGGCAGACTGGTGAAGCTATTACACTTGCAGCCATTTTCAGTAATCTGCCATCAATCTCATCCATTCCTGATGGTTTGTTTTCATGTAAACCTAGAAGCAAATTTTTAACTTTATCTGTGCTTAACAATTTAAATGTGAAATGACAGTTTTTATTCTTAACAATAAAATCATTGATTATTTGAGATGAAGTGCCCAGATTCCTGTAACACTTTGTATCATTCATTAACTTATATATTTTATCATAATAATATTTACCAAAATGGTCTGCGATATCTTTACCTTTTGTTAAAAAAAGTCCATTCACTTCTAAAAATGCTGGTGTCTTAAAACATTGATTGCACAACCTAAATGATAACGGGGTGGGAAAAAAATGTCAGATGAGGCCAGAGAAAAATCCTCAGGAGAAATTAGAAGTGAGCGATGGATGCAGAAACTACGCCATGTAACGCCAGGTCCACCCGGCTCCAACTGTAAGATCCGGAGCACAGGTAATCTGACTCAGTCTGATTACATGAATCATGAGGAGCACATTGGGGCAATACAGGCTTCACCATCTCGCCATCATGTCAGCTGAGAGGAGAACTCTCCAAATTAAGCCAGTCACAATTGATCGACAGCTTCGCAAAAATTTAATTCAAGGTGCTACATCCAGCTCTCCCATCTTTCTGGCTGTGATATACACACCGCCATATGATCATCACAGTCACAGGATCACCACCATCATCACCATCACAGGATCACCACCATCACAGGATCAGCACCATCACAGGATCACAGGATCAGCACCATCACAGGATCAAAGGATCAGCACCATCACAGGATCACAGGATCAGCACCATCACAGGATCATCACCATCACAGGATCAAAGGATCAGCACCATCACAGGATCATCACCATCATAGGATCACCACCATCACAGGATCAGCACCATCACAGGATTACAGGATCAGCACCATCACAGGATCACCACCATCACAGGATCACAGGATCAGCACCATCACTGTCACAGGATCACCACCATCACAGGATCACCACCATCATCACCATCAC